CGAGCGCGGCCGGCGGGGCGCTGTGACCGTGCCCGGAGCGAGGACGGGGCCCCCGGCCCGGGTGGGGCGCGCTGTTGGCAGACGCGAGGCTGTTTTGCTTTGAATCATGCCAAGTTTCACCGAGCCCCAAGTTGCGCGGGTTTGGTAGGAGCCAACGTAAAATGTAATAAAATACAGATGAAAGAAAGAAAAAGTTCTTCCTGGCAGAGGGCGGCCCCAAGCGCGGCTGTGGCAAGGAGCAGCGCGCCCAGGGGTTCAGGAGCCGCTGCGAGCTTAGCAGTGCATTCGGCTCAGCGGGCCGAACCCCAGCGAACCGAACCAGGGAGAAAGTAGGCGGGAGGTGACTCAAGTACCTCTCCACCCCTATCCACTTTCAAAGAGCAGCTGCTGGACACGGCTTGTCACCTCTCCGGAGAGCTTTCCTGCCCTGGAGGTGACGTTCCTTGGAGGATCTCCCCACCCGCACTTAGCTGTCCCGCTGCGAAAACCATGCTCAGCTCCTCCGAGGCGAACAGCGGTGGGAAGACACTCTGTAGGAAACATACAGGCCTGTGATGTAAGTCAAGACTTGGGAGAAAAAAAAAAACCCGACTCGCCTCTACACCGCCTCTCCGCTTCCAGTAATTCTGAAGGAGACTGAGTTGTGGTCAGACCTGCACCAGACACGGCACAGTTAATCTGCATGTTGGACTGGGGCGTCCATATTCTCTTCACACTGCTGGGCTGCAGGCGTTCCCTGGTCCCAGGATGTTGCCATCAGGCAACAGCAACCCCGGTGCACATGTAAAAAAGATACGGATTGGTGGGCCCCACTCATCCTGCTCTTGGTAGTTAGGATTTCAGTGTTCTAGGAAACAGAGCTGGCTTTCCCAAAACTGAGGTAGGGAGCAACTAGTATCATAGTTACTGGGGAGCAGAGTGTTGGCCACAGTTTCCAAGTATGCACAGACTACGATAGATAAGCATAAGCTGGCAATGCTAAGCTTGGGCTCACTCTTCTTGGAGACAGTAAAGGGAAAGGCAAGGACGAACGTGCCAAGAACTCACCCTCACCTAAACGCCTGCAAGGGTCCTTTTGCTGTGAGTGACAGAAGCCAAACTCGAATGAGTTTTGGTGAGAAGAGGACTTCATTAGAAGAATACTCTAGCGTTGCACAGAGTAACCGCACGGGAACGGTGCTGCGATATCTCAGAGGCCACTGAGATCCTCGAAGCACCATAGGACTCCTCATCTATCTAACCGGTTCTCTATCCTCACAGCCCAGGCCAGCTGCTCCCACGTCCTTGCACACCACGGTCCTTCCACACCTCTGAGTTTCTGAGCAGAAGGAATGTCCCTTTCCCTAGGACCCAATTTAGAGGGTACTAGAAGAGCCGCTCACGGGCTCATGCTGGGCTAGTGGGTAGAGACAAGGGCGGTGAGCTGTGGTCATGGCCAGCAGGTATGGCTGGAGCAGAAGGGAAGCAGAGTTGTGTCCCAGGAAAGAAAGAATTACCCTCTAGGAAGAAAGCCCGCCTGGGAGGCAAAACAGTACGGATCCGCTTGTGGTTTGTCACAGATGTCCTGAGATAACGACCTCCAGGTTAAGCCAATTGTAAGCTGAAAGTGAAGCCATGTGACAATTATCGCATCGTGTCAGGCTTCCCTGCTGCCAGGACTGTGTCTCGAAAACCTTCTGTGCTGGGAGAGATGCAGTCCTCTGTGCAGGCCCTTGCTCGGCCTTGCCGGTCTCTGCTGTCACTAGGTAATTAGGTCACTAGGTCCATTTCTAGGTCACTAGGTCCATTTCTGGGTCCGTCTGCCTCTCCTGCCTGGCAGCGCTGGAGGACTGGAAGCAGACCATGCAGTGCTCACTGCCGCACTCCCAACGCTGACTTCAGAGAAAGGCAAGTGGCCAGGTATTCTTGGACCTTTCAAGGTGCTGTACACCTCACTCTGAGCTTTGTCACCCGTCCCTCATTGCCCTGTGCAAGATGACAGTAGAAAGGAGTGGAGGCTCCTTGGTCCTCAGTGGTAGCAGAGGCTACGTTGGGCCTGTCAGCCACCTCCCATCCGCTCCTGCTGTGCGGCTTCCCTGCCCCCGGCCCAGCCCTAGGCCCTAGGCCCTAGGCTGGGTGGAAGGGTAGAATCAGGCGGGCGATCTTTTCTTGCTTCAGATGAACCACGGGGCAGGTGTGGTCCCTGGGGGAAGCTGGGGACACCTCTAGAAATGCTCGCGGGATTGCTGGGCCTGACGGGATCTCTGTGGGTTATCAATCCTCAGGACTGTGGTCAGTTTATCTTTACCCCTTCCTTTTTTTCTTTTTCCTCTTCCCAGGCATGACCCCAGGGGCTCCTCTCTGCCTTTCCTATTTCAGAGAGACCATTCATTGATTTATGTCTTTGTTATTTATCAGTCAGTGCTCCTGCCCCAAGCACATTTGAAGAAGCCTCCTACGTTTTGTAAAGGTACAGCATTAACTTTTCATCACCCTTGTGTTAGCTTTCTCATCATTCTAAAAGATTTTAGAAAACACTGGAGTTTCCTTCTATAGCAGACAATTGAACTCCAAAGCGCTGGGCCCCCAATGTTTAATAATGGGAAAGAATAAGCAGTGACTACAGTGTTCTCACTTTCAGGACGGCCCCCTGCTCTTCTTTCCTCTGCTATTACATTCTCTGTAAACTGGTAGACGTTCACTTTGTCTTCGGCAGGCATTGCTTGGCCAAGCCGCATGTACTTAACCTTTGTAATGTGCCTCATAAATCAAGCTCACAGTTCCTTTTTTTGTTGCTCTTTTCTGAATTGCCTTCATATGTCCCTTTTCTTGGACCCCAGGGAGTTGGGACAGTCCAAAGTAATTCCCATTAGAAGTTAGGCAGGTCAGCCGTATACGGTATCCTGTTATATGGCTAATTTCAGTCACACCCTCTTGCTTTTCTGACAGGTCTCTTGACTTCTGGCTTTACCAGAAACAACAAAGGGCCCAGAAGAGTCAGAGATGAGAGGTGAAATGTTACACATGTTGTATTTAGTGCTTTTTCTTTTGGACATATTTTTCCATTGCCCATATTTTAAAAATTAAAAAAAAATAGTGAATTTCTTCAAGAAAATCTCAAAGAGATTAAGTAAAAAGCAAGCTAGAAATTAAGTAAAAATGTATGAAATAAGTGAATTTTTCTCACTAGCTAAGGACATTCTTACAGGGAAATCAGTCTTTGGTAATCAAATGATTGTTTTAAAATTTTCTGACCCGGAGAGGAGTACATCAAGACTGGCCACATTCCCAACACCAGCACCAGTCCTGTCTGTCCACTTGGTCAGCTGAAGTCCTTCCACACCTCTGAGTTTGGTGGAGCCTCCAGACTCCTCCAGACTGGAGGAGCGTGGTAGGGTGAGACAGGTCCTGTTCCCATGACCAGAGCTCTTTACACTAGGCGTCCGTAATGGAGGCACATGGATCAGTCATCAGGTTAACCCTTAGCTGTTCCATACTGGATGATGACAGATAAACTCATAAATGCTGGTGTCCAGAACACAGACAAAAGGAAAGAAAATCATGTGAATATAGACAAGGTCCTGATTCACCATTGTCTTGAGAGAAAAAATAAAAAGAGATTATATCAATTTTTGAGAAAGCTCCTATTCCCAAATTTATACCTTAGGGCGTAAAAATACTTCCACAGTCTCTCCCACCAAACTTTGGTGTTCTCAGCAGCAAATGACTGAGACTTTAGAGAGGAGTGATCATAGAACTTTGTTGTAGTTGACAATGTGAATGTTTGCAGTGTTTAATTAATTTATGGATACTTATTTTATATTTTGTGGCATGAATCAAAGGTGAATATGTTTTGTGTCTTCAAGGATTTAAAAACCTAGCAGGAAAATAAAGACAAAGTAACTGCCTATGTAAGGCAGTATGTGATAATTCTGCTAAGTAAATTTAAGCAAAACAGGATAAGGGAGAAGGGTGAAATTAATTTCTTTGCCGTGAGAGGACGAGTGTGCCGGAGGCTGGGTAGAGACTGTTGGGAAAGACTAAAGTTGTATTAATTGTTTATCTTTTTGTTAAACCACATTGCCTTGGAGACGAAATGACATTGAGTTGAATCAAGCATGGATAGGATTTTGAAACTTGGAAGCTCGCATGGATCAGAGATAGTTTGCAAAGATAGAGCATTCAGGACTTGTTCAGGAATGATAAGTAGTTAATTTCTCTGGAAAGATGG